TCTTTTTCTTTTTCCTTTTCTTCTTCCTCCTTTTCTTCTTCCTCCTTTTCTTCTTCCTCCTTTTCTTCTTCCTCCTTTTTTTTTTTTCTCTTTTTTTTTTTTTTTTTCTTCTTTTGCCTTTTTTTTTGTCCGACTGGAGAAAAAAAAAGATCATTTTTTTTCTTCCTTAGCTGTTCTTGTTCCGGACCAAAGCCAGGGTGGTCTGACGAACAGTGGCAGACATGCAGACGGACAGCCTGGAGCATCAGCTTTTTGTCTTTATCTTTCAAAAGGTTTTTGCTTTGGGTCTTCAATTCTTTTTTCTCTGAATGTCTTAAAGAGTCCAAGAATGACCCCTCCCCTTTCCGCCTGCCTGCCCGCTCCCACTCACCTGCAACCTGACATCAACGCTTTTTTCTCCTCCCACCTTCTTTTTTTCTTGGATGTCTCGCCTCTGGATTTTTGGATCTTCCGTCCTGCGGGCCGTGGAAACGAAAGGTGCTCAGGATTCTTGGTGGGGTGTGTGCGTTTGCTGGGTTTCCATCCTTTGACTTGATGTGCCTTGCTTTTGTAATTCTTGTTTTGTATTTTTCTTGGGGTTCTGTGACACCACACTGCTAATCCCACTGGTGGATTTTGATGGGTGTCTTGGGGGCTCTCCCTCGCGGTCCTCACAGCAGTGGTTGGTCGGCCCTTCCTGGCTGGCACAGGCAATGCTTTTTAACTTTTTTCCCCCAATCTCCTAATTCAACTGCTTTGTTTTCCAGCAAATGTAATCAAGTGATTGTAAGTCGGGGCCAAATGTCTTTCTTTTCTTAAAATCTGCATGTCTTAAGGGAGTTTTGTTTCTTTAAATGATATTTTGATAACCTCTAATGACTAATTTTCATTTTTTGCTTTGTGCAGCCTTTTTTTTTTTTTTTTTTTTGGTGCTCGCTGCGAATTTTTGGCTTTCTTCCGTAGAAGACTTTCTTGAAAACAAAAACACAAACGAAATAACAACCCAGCCTGGTTTCCTTTTTTTTTTCTTCTTCTTCTTTTTTCCGCGCGTTCCTATCTTTGCGCCACTTTTGTTAACCAAAATGAAACCAAACGAAATCAAAACCAAAAAGTGAAAAAACGAAAACAATTAATCTTTTGTTTTATTTAAAAGCCATACTTCCTTGAAGCAGTCTCACCCATCTTCATTTTATTAGCCTAGGAAATAAGAGTGTAATGATGACTAATTAAGGCTTGCTTGGGAAAAGAGAGGATTGTCGTCTTATGCTAGCATGGTTGATGTAAAACGATTAATGAAAATTAAAAAAAAAAAAGAAATAATCTTTATATGTTTTTCTCATCGCATCATTTTCTGTCTGTGCACCTTAGCGAGAGATTGAAGCGACGTTGAGCGGACCTTCCCTTTCAGGCTTTTTATATTGTTAAGAGGGTTAGCTTTCCGAGCAGAGAAAACCTTCGCTGACCATCTCTCTGGCAATGTATTTTATATCCATACAGGCGCCCTTCAGATCGAACAGAGCGAAGAATCCGACCAAGGGAAATACGAGTGTGTTGCCACCAACAGCGCGGGCACTCGCTATTCGGCCCCTGCCAATTTATATGTCAGAGGTAGGAGTGACATCGCCTGGGCGTCGGGTCTTGGTGCAGGCTCAGGGGGAGTTGAGATACCGACAGGACAGGCCTGGGTTGCTGTGCCAGTAGTTAGCCCAGCGATATGATCACAGTGACGTGGTGCTGCGTAGAGATTTAAAACATAGCGAGACGTTCTTACTGTCAATGCACAAAACAAAACACACACAAACCCAGTATCACTCTTGAGTATAATCTCTCCTGAGGCTTGCGGTTTGTAAGTATATTTGCATTTTACATTGGGGTGTCTATTTTTCCTGCATTGATTGAACTGTACTCTGCATTTGTTTGGGTTTTCTTCCTGCTCCGCCCCGCTCCCCTTTCCTTTTTCTGTTGTTGTTTCTCTGCTGTTTCCATAGCAAACCCTGAAGCCATTGCTTAGCTTGCTACTACTAATCAGTTCTCTGTGCAAGTGCTCACATCCGGGTGTTGTGCCTTCATGACCCCTGGTGCCAAACTATAAGAATCAAGCTGCTATCTTCAAGGAAAGGAAGATGCTACACGCAAAGTGTTTTCTTCCATCTTTTTATTTGTATATACTTTCTTATTAATAAACATAGGGTATGTATACATGTGGCTAGATATAACAAATGTAAATCCACACAGAGGTATATTTGTTTAAATTAGGACAAACTGAAATGTTTAATCTTTCCTTTGCCATAGAATACTGATTTTACTTATTTATGTTTTGGGACTGGCATCATTTGACCTTGGGTCAAGAATGAATTGTGGGATTGCTTTCATATCCTATCATAAAGTAATAGAAATCATTAGAGTTTGCGCCTCTGAATGGCTGTTCCTGTAGCCATGGAAATGGAAAAGTTCTCATTCTGGTCAACTTTGTGTGTGGATAACCAAAGAAACCAGAGGGTGGGGTGGGGGTAGACCACTGCTGGGAGGGCTTGTAACCACAGGGTGGGTGCTTAAGAAAATATCTAGCTTGATTTTGAAATTTTGGTTAGAGGCGATTTTATTTTCCTGGGACTCTTTTCCTGTGGTACTGTTCTCGTGAGCCTGGGGTGGGGTATACGAAGGACAGCATTTCTTCCCTAAATTGTTCGAAAGCCCCTTGGCCCTTTTTCTCACAACAGTGAACCCCTTTGCTGCATGAGGCATGTGTAACCTTCTTCAACAACAACAAAAAATTTCAAAATTATGCTAGCTATTGTTTCTAATACCGCATTAGCTCGTGAGGAAGTGCTAACGTTTCCAGTAGAAGTAGTTAATCTTCATTAACTAGAGCAATTAAAGATGTTCGAGTAGCAGTTAAGCCTTGATATGGCCTTTTTACTCTCTCTGTGTTTCCCTTGTTTCTCTCCTTTCCTCATTTCATTGTGTTCTGCATCAAACCCCCTACATCCCTCAGAGCTGCGAGAAGGTTGGTGTGTTTTTTACTTTTTACCCACCTTACAAAACTATTCATTAAAACCAATAACAAAGAGTACAAATGAAATGAATGTAGCTGCCTTGTGCTCTCCTTTCGGTTCATGGTATGTTGTAGCCAAGAATGCCCTGGCCCTGGCTTCCGATGCTTGCTGGTGGTGTCTAACTGGTGCATGGCGGGAGAGAATGTGCCGGGGTGCATGGTTAACTGGTAATACGTAACTCTCTAAGACCTGGTGAACTTGGTCAGTGTTCCTGCTTTCTTTCCTGCCCCACCCCTCCCGTCTCCCTCTCCCTTCTACTCTCTGCCTCACGTGGATGCCTGCTGCCCCTAGATGACTTTTTTTTTCTAGCCGACCCCCCTCATCCCAAGCATGAGGACTAAACTCTCCTCCGCTTTTCTCAACATGGCCTCCAGAATCGACACTGGCTCCTCCTTGCGTCAGGTGGCCTCTGTGGATTGGCTGCAGGGGCATGCTGAGCTCTCTCTGCATGTCTCCAGTGCCTGTCCTTAGCTCTGAGGCCATCACAGGGAGCCCTCTTACACCACTGGATGGAGGTGCATCCATCTCAACCTGCAGGGTAGCCCCAAAGTTTCCAGACAGAATTACTCCCTTGATGAATTATCTCCTTGGGGTCATGAGGTTGCTTGCTGATGAGTTAATTTAGAATTTCATAATTGGATTCATCACCCGTATTGAGGTTACTCCTAAAGACCGCCCTCTTACTCTCAAACACTCATAGTGTGAATGGCCCGCCACTTGAAAACCAGAGAGGAAATCGCCATGTCTTTAACCCTCTCCATGACCGGTGTCCAAGACATGCGTATTATCCACACCTAAACATGTAGTTTGTCCGAAGCAGGAACACTGATCTTTAACCCCTTGGTGAATTTATCTGTGTCATGTTGCTGTAATATATGACCTTCTCTTTGAATGTCATGTCCTGCTGTGTGTTTTAGGTCCTATGTCCCTCCCTTTGAATGTGGGCAGAACGAGCTGTTCACTAGATTTTGTTGGCCATATGTGTTTTCTCACCCTTACATGCCAACCAAGCCAAAGGGGACCCTGGAATGTGAATTACTTGGCTCTTTTCCCAGATATGCAATCCTTAACCCATAAAAACCCGGCCCTAATCTCCTATCTTCCTACTTTCAACCCAGCCATCCCTTCCACTCCTGTCTCAGCCAGTGTACTTGACAGCCAGCCCGGGTGTTAAATCCTGTCCCCCTGCTGTTTCTTCTGCTGCTTTGGATCACCCGCATGTTCCATGGACCTCAGCATGGGTCTTCAGACTCCATCCTGTGCATGCCGTGCATATGACCTCGTCCAGTATCTCTACTGGTGCTGGCCTTGTTTCTTCTTCTGTGACCATTAATTGATCATATATATATGTCTGTGCATATATATGTGTATGTATGAATATATTTCTGTGTTTGTTCCAGTGTTAGTGTGAGGTCTTCAGGCTGCATCCACTCTTGAGTCTGAAAGCAAATAAAATTGCACTTCAGTGTACTCTAGGTGATGGGTGCCAGGGCTGGTCTGTGACCGTGGGGTTCCCACAAGTACAATCCCATCAGCTGGAAGGGCCCACCCATGAAGTTGGGTTTGATACTCAACCTGGACTTGGCAGCTGACCTTCCAGTTCCTTTTCTGCATATACATGCCTGCATAAGATGTTTTTTCATATACATGCATGTATATGGTTGTGTGTATATCTTGTGCATGATGTGTGTGTATTGTTAGTACGTAGATAGTCTATTTTATTTTGTTGTAGGGGCCTCATAGGTCTTAATAAGCTTTTGTATGAATGTGTCTATTGATAGCAATGACTAAACAAACTAAAGCTCTCTGTGTATACACACACCATACTCGTATGGTCTGTATTATCCACAGGTTTTTCTTTATGCTTTGTTTCTGGACACTCCATGATCTGTTTTAATTTGTTTAATGGTGTCTGTCTGGTGCATGTCATGCGTTTATCAAGCCATCTTTTTCTTGCCCTGTATATGTTATTATCTTCCCTTGTGTTTTGTTCCAGTTCGCCGTGTCCCACCAAGATTCTCTATCCCACCCACTAATCACGAAATCATGCCAGGTGGAAGTGTTAATATCACCTGTGTGGCCGTGGGGTCACCAATGCCTTATGTGAAGTGGATGCTGGGGGCAGAAGATCTGACGCCTGAAGATGATATGCCAATAGGAAGAAATGTCCTTGAACTGAATGATGTAAGACAGTCAGCAAATTACACTTGTGTCGCCATGTCGACACTGGGTGTCATTGAAGCAATAGCACAGATCACTGTCAAAGGTATGTTCTCTGACTCCTGCTCCAAGGTTCTGGATAGGTTCAACTCATCCCTGTCCTACCTCCCCAAACTTCTAACCTCTGGATTCCGAATCATTCCCTTCAAATTTTCAGTGTTCACATAGAGGTTTCTCCCCTCATACTTCCATCCCAGTCATAACTGTGGTGCAATTATTTGAAAAAAAGGAAAAAGGCAAGTGGAGCTTGCCAGTAGTTGATGCTGACTCATCCCGCCTCCAGGCAGGGTTTCCAAGAGTGGCTAGTTCTGAAACCAAGGCACCATTGGGGCTGAGTCGGTACCACTTGTTCTCAACCAGTGTTCCCTGAAGGCTAGACAACTCGTACAGTAGGTCAGACGGAGGGTAAGTGAGGGGTCCTGGTGGTGTGGTGGGTTAAGGATCAGGCTTTGAACTGAAAGGTCAGCAGTTCGAACCCTCCACCCCACTACCCACCCCCACCCCTGCTGCTCTGCAGGAAAAAGAGGAGGTAGTTTGCTTCCTAAACGATTTATAGTCTCTGAACTGCTACACACTGTTCTCTTCTGACTTACAGGGTCACTATGAGTCAGCATCTACTCGATGGCTGTGGATGGGAGGATGACTTTAAGTTTGGGGAAATTCTTGTCATAATTACTGAATGAATACAAATTGCCTTCCTTTTCTAAGAAAATGCAATAAACCACCATCTTTAATTTTAAAACGTATAAAACTCGTTTTAGTTGGTGTTGTCAGGCCTCAATGTAATGTATATATTACATATATGCTATAGAGCACTGATAATTTGACATTTGAACAAAGTCACCACATTATTGACATTTGTAATTAAGTGATGTGATATTGTGCTGCATGTTTTTTTAAAGTCTCCGCCTTGTTTTTATCTAAGAATTGCATCCATAATCTGTACTGTACAAGAAATGTGACTGAGCGCAAGCATAATGTCAGCAATAGAACCATGAGCAGACCTTGGATTTCCTTGAAAACTCAACAGGGTTGGGAAGCTGGATCATGTCCTTCTTGCCAAGTGTCAAGTTAGAATATTTGAGCCAAAGGTCTCTGTATGACTATGTTTGGTAAACTTCCTTGACTAAATATTGCACTGGCCCAAGCATATTCTGGTGTGTTCACGGTTACACTTCTTTCTAGGTGTATTTGACCTGCTGATTCCAAAACTGGCTTCCGTTTTCCCTGTCAGCTCAAGTTTTGAGATATAAAACATGTGCTGTATACCAGTCTTCATTCCACTCACCCATAAAAAAAAAAAAAAAAGGATATTGTAACGTAGTGTTAGCTAGCCTGAGCTAGAGGAAGTGCATCCTGGCTTTATTTAAAGAAGTGTGTGTTGTGCCACATATTTAGGTCAAGAGACACTTCACATGGTGCCCTTTGATCCAAAGATATATTTGAACAGTGCAAATTACATGGGCTTGGGATTGTCCCACATATCACTTGATCTTTATTAGGAACTAAATATTGGGCAGTTCCAATTTGTGACCTTCAAGGGAGCCTGAACTGAGAACTACTGTGCAATAAGTAAGGAGCCCTGATGGTGTAGTGAGTTAGGGTTGGAGCCCACCAGCCACTCGGCAAAAGGAAGATGAGGCGTTTTGTTTCCATAAAGATTTACAGCCGGGTAGTGTGTCTAGTACCAGAAATCATGATTCAAAAGCTCTGAGACCAAAAAAACGGGTCTGACAGAGTGCAGACTCCATTATTAAAATTAATATGGTCCAGTCTTGTTTTAAGATGGCACAACTTCTCACCTGTGCACAGAAACTCTAAAAGAAGAGTTAGAATTTTTCTTATAAAGAAACTGGGGAGTCAACCTCACCTGTGAAATATTTTAGATGAATTACTCATTGACTTCGACATATTAAAATGTGTTCAGAAATGTGTACTGCATAATTTGAAGAAAAATTTAAAACTTCAAAATGTTTATGAAAATGGCTTTTACGTCTTACATTTTTGGACACTAAAATCCCCTCACACCTTCTATATATGTGCCTTTTTAACTTCCCACTTTCTTTTCCATACTTTTCAAGATAGAGTCTGTCTTTGTGATATCCACCTTATAAGCTCTGTATATATTGCATAGCCTCCCACACCAAAAAGAAAGCCCCGATGCCATCAACTTGAGTAACTCACAGTGACCCTTCAAGACAGAGAAGAACTGCTCCTTGGTAGGCCTTTTCAAGGCTCCCAAGTGACTGGTGGGTTTGAACCACTGACCTCATGATAGGCAGCTCAGTGCATAACCAGCCACCCACCATGGGGTCCATGGGTAGCTTCCCTTGGAAATGCCTTAATACCTCATCTTTGTAAAAATATTTAACTTTTTAATCTTATCTTGTAATTTGTGGGTCCAGATTCTTCTCGTATTTAAAATTAGGATGATATGCTAACAAAGGAGTAGAAGCAAATAGCTGAAAGTACAGTGGATCACCCCATCTAAGAAACTAGAGCTGATGGCCTCGATCTATCCAGTGCAGTTTTCTCAACTAGAGCCCCAACTAACCCCAGGAATAGGCCTAAAGAGCAAGACGCCGAGAGAGAAAAAATGTTATTGTTAGACTATGTTATTGTTCTATAGTTCTTAGAGAAATATAAACATATTTAACCACTTTTTTTGGGGGGTGGGGTGGGGTCTGTCCAATGCCAGCTTTCATACTTAGAAAGGTTACTGAAGACTTCAGGGCTTTCAAAAAGCCGACGTCACATTGAATTAGTATGTCGGTCAATGTTTTCTCTGTTGTCCTGCCTCTCCCTGATGCCCTCCCAACTCCTCTCCCAAGATAAAGAAATAACAGAAAGCCGTGATGGTGGAGGTAAGAAAGCAGAGTAAATCACACTCAAAAGAACAGCCTGGTGAAAGTTTGCTACTGTGGAAAAGCCGACAGGCTGGAAAAGGGTCAGACTAAACACAAGAGCTTTACTAACTTTCCGCTGAAACCTCAACTAGTAAATTCCCCTTTCCACTTTAATACCACTGTCTTCCAGAAGCAATGGAAGCACCTGCAGGATGAGGTGGTACTTTATCTGGGTGGCCACTTGTGTAAATGGTGTGTGTTCATAATTAGCAGCACTTTGAGTTTTGTTCTGTTAAAAGAAAAAAAAATTAAATCTCTAAAAATGTGGATTTAATTCCAAGTGTTTTGCATGTGCTATAATCTCAGATATTGTTAGTATAGATCATTAGGTAGGTAGCACGTGAGGTGACTTCCAAAAGTCTGTGGAATAATAGGACTGAAAGATAATGGAGTTTTTCCATGAACTTTTGGGAAACTTCAACCACCGCCCATCACATACCTTAAAAAGTGATTGTGCATTTATGTTTCCATTTCATTCATTTAGCGATTTTTTAATATTAAGAAGGAAAATAAAGTTGACTTACAGTTATTTTATTTACTTATTTTTAATTTGTTAGATTACTTATAGGAAACTTTTTGAATGCTACCTAAGTCTGACATCTATGAAAATAAGACAGATGCCATGCACTTATTTATAATAATACATTCTATTTTAATGTATTCAAAAATCTGGGGCTTTCTTGAAGCAGAATCTTTTGAGCAAGATTTTGCAGCGACAAAAAAAAATAAGCATCTCATTTTTACTCTTTTTAAGAATTGCAACTACTGTATGTACTTGAGTGTAAGCCAACCCGAATATCAGCCGAGACACTTAATTTAACCATAAAAACCTCATTAAAAATGTGCTGAAAAACACGGCTTGCACACAAGTAGATATGGTCATTCTTAGATGACTTTCTAAGAGCATTACTGGAATTGCTCATGGATCCTCAGAGCAACCACAAACACAGTTACCTATCAATACAGTACAACTCCTGTCCAACAAACATTATATCCATTTTCCACATGAGGAAATGAAAGCCAAGCCAGATTCAGGAACAAACCCCTACCTGGGATCACCTGACTCCTAAGTGGTAGATTTAAGTCCCGTCTAACAGGGTGGGACTCTGCAGCTGATGCTCTCACGGGCGTCAGGAGTAGCTGCCCTCCTAGCAGCCTGGAATTCATGTCATACCCGGGTGTCTCCCTGTTGTTTTCTGTCAACTTCGACTACTGAGCTTTGCTACAATTCCATCTAATTCCATCTTCTGTAGATGCAGAGTTCTGTCATTCTAAGAATAGAGCCCCTTGATACTTACCACCTGTCAGAAATGGAGAGCATTCACTGTCCGTCTTCTTCCCCCCAGCCTTACCCAAACCTCCAGGAACTCCTGTTGTGACGGAAAGCACAGCGACAAGTATCACACTGACGTGGGACTCTGGGAACCCTGAGCCTGTCTCTTACTACATCATTCAGCATAAACCTAAAAACTCGGAGGAACCTTACAAAGAAATTGATGGGGTGGCGACTACACGCTACAGTGTGGCCGGACTAAGCCCCTACTCCGATTATGAATTCAGGGTCGTTGCTGTCAACAACATCGGGCGCGGGCCTCCCAGTGAGCCTGTGCTTACCCAAACCTCCGAGCAAGCTCCATCCAGTGCCCCTCGGGATGTCCAGGCTCGCATGTTGAGCTCAACCACCATTTTGGTGCAGTGGAAGGAACCTGAAGAGCCAAATGGCCAGATCCAAGGATACAGAGTCTATTATACAATGGATCCCACTCAGCATGTCAACAACTGGATGAAACACAATGTAGCTGATAGCCAAATCACCACCATTGGCAACTTAGTGCCCCAGAAAACATACTCTGTCAAAGTCTTGGCTTTTACCTCAATTGGGGATGGTCCTCTTTCAAGTGACATACAAGTCATTACCCAGACAGGAGGTAAGTCTGGTTCAGGATTGAGAGAGAGCAGGAGGGGGGAGGGCTGGTTCTATTAGATGGAGTGGGGCAGCGGGGAAGTGGGGAGGGAAGGGAAGAAAATAAATGAAGAACAAAGATAGTATTGACTTTGGTCATTGGAATTTAGGGCTAGAAAACAGTATTAAAATAATATTTGTACAAACTTAGTGATATGCATAGCTTATATGCCTAAGGAAGGGTTAAGATCAGACATCTGAAAAGGTATAAGCAAGGCTGCCGGAAGTATTAAATAACTGTTTTTAGCAGTGTAACAGAGGGCTATGTTTAATATGCTTCCTTCTCATGACTCAAATAACTTGATCATTTTTCTGTAGGAGGAGGAAGGATGACTCCTCCATAATTTTGAGAATATACAAAGTACTCTGGCAATGTGTATTAGTCAGGGCAGACTAGGGAAACAAAATCATAGACACTCATGTGTATAGAAAGAGCTTCATATAAAGAGTGTACATTAAGAAAACATCCAGATCAAGTTCAGAAGAGGACATTGTACATTAAAGAGTAATTGTACATTAAGAAAACATCCAGATCAAGTTCAGAAGAGGACAATCTATAATGTCCTCTTCAGACTCACGAAACATGTGCAATGATGCCAAATGCAGGAAGATCACAGGCCAGAGGGTGGAAAGTCTTGTGGATCCAGTGGCGTAAGCCTCCCAGCGCTGGCAGGGTTCTCCATGTGGCTTCTCCAGTCCTAGGGCTCTGGCTGCATCTGGCTTCATGTGGTTTCTCATCAGAAATGTCTTGCAGGGAGTAAGCATGTGTCCCACCTCCACGGAGCTATTTATCTCCTTTGTGCCTCTAAATGAGTTCATGAAGCTCTGATGTAATTGACAGGCTAAGCTCCACCCCTTCACTCTTAATCCTCTCAAATTGATAACAGATATGTAACTACCACACAATCTAATCTCAACAAAGTTAAAATACTTAGTTTTGTTAAGATAGCATAGTTCAACACAAAGTTCAAAATAATACCATCAAATGATTTCCAGTATTCACATGGCTTAAAATGTCAAGAAGCTATAATGAATAAATATTAGAAATAAATACTCTGAATTACTTGTTTAAAATTTTTTATGGCCTCAATGGATGAAGGATGACAATTTCCAAGTCCTAATAGTACTCTTTAGGGCTAAATTCACCCATTTAACTGGGTTTTAGATTAGTTGCTCAAACTATATTATGAAGAAACACATAGGCTTTACCAATGGTTCAATTTCATAAGAGGATATCAGAACTCCTTGGTCTTTGATAAACAGTGGTCAGGTCAACCTTGGGTGGGAAGCACAGAACACCTGCTATCTACCAAAGTTTCTCCTAAATATCTAACTTAATCTACTCACGTGACTCCAAACTGTAATAGAAGGTTAGCACTTCGTTTAGTATGCCATTGCCTTCTTTGGACATCCTATGCGCTTGGTAATAATATCGGTCACGAACAAGAACAACTCTTTGCTGATGCTGGGAATAGACGATGCATTTTCTCAAGTGTCTGAACTGAAATCGTTCTTGTTTGCTGAGCCTCGTTGTGTCATGGACTGTATAAGCTCTGTGATGAACTGTGTTGGCCCGCTTTCCGTGGACAGATCTCAGAATATAAGCAAACAAGGCCAGGTCCTTATTTTCTTTTCCCCTTTGCTATCTGCTCCTCATCAGCTTTTTCCTGGTTTCATAATTTTCCCTAATAAATTATATGACCGCTGACAATTAAATGTATTTCTTGACACCCACTGAATGAACTACTCTCTTTACATGACTTCTGCAGTTCCTCTGTAGGTACTCACTGGGTTACTTAGTCAGGCAGAAAACCACTGATTCCATCTTGTAGACTAATTCCATCGTGAACACTGCCCCTTGGGAATTGTAGACGTCTGTGACACTTTTCTTTGTCTAAAAGTTGGAGACTATTTTTTAATGATGCTATTATTTTATCAACTGTATAACCATTAAAAGATGTTAAGAGAGCTTATTGGAATATGCCCTGCTTTTCAAACTTTGTAGCTGTGATGTTTTATAAACCTCTGGTCTTGGGGTAATCTAAGCAGGGTTTGAATCTCAGTCTGCCATTTATTGGTGATAAGACCATGAACCGTTGAGTTGATATCAATGAGCTTTGTTTCCACATCAGCAATAATAACCAATTACTGCTGAATCCACTCTGACTCATGACTTCCTGGGTGGCTTTCAATGGCCAACTTTAGGAGAAGCAGTTTATCAGGCCCGTCTTTGGAGACACCTCTGGGTGGACTCAAACTTCATCCCTCCAGTTGGCAGCCAAGCAGGCAAGGACCACCCAGGAGCTCTAATAGGTAATATATTAGATGCTGTAACAACAGAAGCTAGACTGTGCTGGGAATTGTGTCATCCTCATGCGCATGTCAGACAGATTTTTTTCCAATATACACGAGCCAAAACAACATTTATCTGATAGAGTACATATGAAATTAAAAGTACTTGTGAAATTCATACAATCAGGATGTTTTAGTAGATTCTTTAAAGGATGTGAAGTGGCTAGGAAAGTAATCAAATCCCTGCACGTAATGCCACCTTTGTTTAATGAAATTCCATCATAGTTTTATATTGTGGCCTAGCAACGATCCTAAGAAGTAGCTGAGTCAGCAATAAAAGGAGAAGCTCAGCATTAATTATATCGGAACGGACATCATTGAATTTGGCAGGCATCCACTGGCATCAAATGGCCTTTTGTTAATTAAGCCTATAGAACAGATCAAATCATTGTGCTATTTTGGAGGGTTTCCTTAGCCTATTGATCTTGGCAGACACGAGTCATTATGTCATTGTATATCGTCTCAATCAATGAGAATTAAACATACAACTATTATAAGAAGGTCCTTGGAAATACCCTAACGTTGGATCCGTCAAACCAAGGCTGGTAACAACCACTCTAAGACACTCCTGACCAACCCATCGAGGTTTTCTGTGTTCTGTTATTAAATTACATCAGACCACCAGGCCTTGTAGTCCCGTGGCCACATTAACTCAATTGCCCTACTCAGAATATGACCTCTGCCAAGTTAAGATTAAAAGTTAGATGGTGCCCTCCAGTAATGTTGAGAATCACCACATGCTCTGGCCTCTGGAAACCAGTGTTACGTTTTTGTCAGCGAGTTGCCACCGACGGCATTGCCCTCTGTGCTCCAGTGCTCTGCATACGAGGATTCTCCTGAGTCTTGGGGGTGTTTGGGATGGCTCTAGTTCCTGGAGATATTTTATTTCTTAGAAAACCAAATTCTCCTGTCAACAGAAAATAAAAGTTGTAAAAGCATGGCATGCATTTATATTTGAGAAGTTAGAGCCAAATGTAATGACCAAGCATAATGCAATTTTATGGCAAAGGTCATTCCCTCTTTCTTTCAGATGGGCTTACTTCCATATTTAAATGCTGACATCACGTTTACACTAGGGTGGTCTAATAGCCACCTTAAAATTTTCATCCGTGTGGTGGGCTACTAAAATAAAATCCACAGTGATGACTTTTTTTTTTACTAAATTCCTCCTAAATATTACATCTTTGGAGTTGACTTTTAAACAAATACATGGACGCTAGCTAGTACCAGAGATGGGAGAAAGATGAGCTTTTCTTCTCCCATCAAGATTTAAAATCTCAGAAGCCCCCAGAGGGAGTTCTCCTCTGTCCCATAGAGTCACTGTGCGCTGGAATCGCTTAGATGGCAGTGAAGACAATCAAGGGAGCAACTTTCAGATGCCGAAAGACAGCATGATTTACAGTTCTCTGGATCAGCACCATTTTACAAAACACCAAAGACAGCCTTCTCTCTTCGTTCTCTCCTTTTTCTCTGTGTATACGTAGGGAAGCTGTGGTGATGGTCACAGCAAGTTCAGTAGCAAAGTCATCACCATCAGTGATTTTATCCCAAGTTGCTGGTCACACAGACGGATGTAAAGTGAGGACACAAAAGTATTCAGTCGAGGTTTCCTATTGCTGGAACTAGCAAGGCTCAGTCTTAAGGAATTGCTGAAAGGGATTAAGTCCCCCCCCAAATTCTAGTTCAGATCAATTTTCTAGAAATTCAGCGTTTCTAATAGCTTCAACTTTTGGCATGACCATCACTTATAATTACTTTACTTGACTGTATGGTCACGGACAAGGACAATATTGACAGTGTCTGGGGAGAGAAAAACATCTCAGGAAGAAATGGCAGCTTTGTATAGGTTTCTTTCCAGTTATATTTATTTTAAACGTGAGGTCATGCTCATTGACAAAAGAGGCACAAATAGAACGCTGCTTGCAAACCCTAACCAGATATATCTTAATAAGTATAACTCACTGCCACTCAGTCAATGCCAACTCATAGCGATCCTCTAGGACAGGGGAGGACTGCCCCTGTTTCTGACTTTCTGAGACGGTAGCGCTTTACTGGAGTGGAAACCCTTGTATTTCTCCACTATACCTACAAATCTCCTTTGCTTGCTTGCTTTTTTTTTTTTTTTCAGTGCTTTATAGCTATCTCTAGGTATAAAGCATTAAAAAGATGTTGGCTGATGTTCATGGTCATTTAAAGGTTCTGAATTCTCAAAATTCTCAGGTGTGTTCCTTCTGAACCTAGGAAGCCTAGCTGACCTGCTCCCTCTAAGCTCTCCGTAGATTTTGAGGGAAAGTCACTTGATTTATGTGTGCTTTCTTCAATAGATAGAGTTTGGGGATGGGAAAGTAAAAACGAGTAATATTGGTGTTAAACGTTTTGAGATCATTCGTTGGGCTGCAAATACTGAGAATTGAATAATTGCTAAAACATAAAACTCTGGCAGTGAGAGACATCATGCTTATGGGTTCCAGCACTTTATAAATCTTCTCATTAGGATATGTCAACAAGCCTCTTTAAACAAACTAGAAAAAGACTGATTTCCAAAAGCCAAAATTACAAGCCCCACTTAAATGACTTACTGGAAGTACTTTTAGCACTGACTAAGGGAGCTCT